TTTTGATAGAGATTGCTTTAAATATGTAGTTTTCTTTGGATAGTATAGACATTTTAATATTTGTCCTTTCAATCCATGAACATGGAATGTTTTTCCATTTCTTTGTGTCATCTTCAATTTCTTTCATAAGTGTTCTGTAGTTTTCAGAGTACAAAACTTGTACATCTTTGGTTTGTGAATCAATCAACATGATATACCACATTAAGAAATGAAAGGATAAGAACCATATGATCATTTTTTTAAAAGATTATTTATTTATTTATTTATTTATTTACTTATTTATTTATTTGACAGACAGAGATCACAAGTAGGCAGAGAGGCAGGCAGAGAGAGGAGGAAGCAGGCTCCCTGCTGAGCAGAGAGGCCGATGCGGGGCTCGATCCCAGGACCCTGGGATCATGACCTGAGCCAAAGGCAGAGGCTTTAACCCACTGAGCCACGCAGGCACCCCCATATGACCTTCTTAATGCAAAAAAATCATTTGACAAAATATAGCATCGATTCTTGAAAACCCCAACATAGCAGAGATAGAGGGAACATACCTCAATATCATAAAAGCGATATACAAAAACCCACAGCTAATATTTTCTTCAATGGGGAAAAACTGAGAGCTTTTCCTCTGTGATCAGGAACAAGAACGGGATGTCTCACCATTGTTATTTAACATAGTATGGGAAGTCCTGGCTTCCTAAGACAGAAAACATGAAGAAATAAAAGGCCTCCAAATAGGCAAGGAAGAAGTTAAACTTTCCCTATTTGCAGATGATACTGTATATAGAAAACCTGAAAGATTCCACCAAACAGTTGCTAGAACTGATACATGAATTCAGTAATGTCACAGGATATAAAATCAGTGTACAGAAATCTGTTGCATTCCTATATGCTAATAATGAAACAACAGAAGTAGAAATCAAGGAATTGTCCTTTTTACTATTGCACCAAAACCAGCAAGATACATTGGAATAAACCTAAGAGAAGAGGTAAAAGATGTGTATTCTGTTATATATATTTTAGAAATAACCCAGTCATGTCCAAGAAGAACAGGATTAAAAAAAAATTTGGAAAGTGGGAGGGCATAACAAGAGAGAAAAATGTAATTTTTACTAGATTATTAATTTCTCCAGCACATAACTTTTAATTCCTAATACTTAACCTGATCTTCCCTCAGATACTGTTCTTATTTTTGCTTGCTTATTGAGGGACACTTTGCTTCCTCAATTCAAATGAACAAACCCTTCTTGTATATACCAGTTGGAGAAAGAACAAAAGAATTTAAGATACATCTGTTAATAATTCCAGAGTTTTGTTTCTGTAGATCTTATTACATTAACAAACTGTTCTTACTTAATTATTGAAAACTTGTTCTGTCTAATCTGGCACATTTCATCTTGGTAATGGTGCAGCATGTCACCACCTTTATACAGATTGCAGTGTTGGTACATTTGGATTGCCAAGGTCATAGTGTGATCTTTTTCTTTTTAATGTTATGTACATTATTAGGCTTTGATGTAGTGTTCCATGATTCATTGTTTGCATATAATACCCAGTGCTCCATGCAATACATGCCCCTCTTAATACCCATCACCTGACTAACCCATCCCCAACACCCCCTTACCTCTAAAACACTCAGTTTGTTTCCCAGAGTACATAGTCTCTCGTGGTTTATCTCGCCTTCTGATTCCCGCCCCCCACCCTTCATTTCCCCCTTCCTTCTCCTAATGTCCTCCATGCTATTTCTTATGTTCCATGAATAAGTGAAACCACGATAACTGACTTTCCTATTTGACTTATTTCACTTAGCATAATCTCTTCCAGTTCCATCCATGTTGATGCAAAATTTGGGCATTTATCTTTTCTGATGGCCACATACTATTCCATTGTATACATGGACCACATCTTCTTTATCCATTCATCTGTTGAAGGGCATCCTGGCTCCTTCCACAGTTTGACTATTGTGGACATTGCTTCTATGAATATTGGGGTGCATGTGCTCTTTCTTTACACTGCATCTGTGTTTTTGGAATAAGTACCTAGTAGTGCAATTGCTGAGTCATAGGGTAGCTCTATTTTTAACATCTTGAGGAAACTCCATAACATTTTCCAAAGTGGCTATACCAGCTTGCATTCCCACCAACAGTGTAAGAGGGTTCTCCTTTCTCCACAACCTAACATTTTTTGTTTTTTGCCTTGTCAATTGTTACCCTTCTGATTGATGTAAGGTGGTATCTCAATGTGTTTTATTTTATTTTATTTTTTCAGTGTTCCAAGATTCATTGTTTATGTACCACACCCAGCGCTCCATGAAATAGGAGCTCTACTTAATACCCACCACCAGGCTCACCCATTCCACAATGCCCCTCCCCTCCAAAACCCTCAGTTTGTTTCCCAGAGTCCATAGTCTTTCCTGGTTTTTCTCCCCTCCGATTACCCCCAATTCACTTCTCCTTTCCTTCTCCTAATGTCCTACATGTTATTCCTTACGTTCCACAAGTGAAACCATATTATAATTGACTTTCTCTGCTTCACTTATTTCACTCAGCATAATCTCCTCCAGTCCCATCCATGTTGATACAAAAGTTAGGTATTCATCCTTTCTGATGGAGGAATAATAATCCATTATATATATGAACCCTATCTTCTTTAACCATTCATTTGCTGAAGGACATCTTGGCTCTTTCCACAGTTTGGCAGTTGTAGCCATTGCTGCTATGAACATTGTGGTACAGATGGCCCTTCTTTTCATTACATCTGTATCTTTGGAGTAAATACCCAGTAGTGCAATCACAGGGTCATAGGGAAGCTCTATTTTTAATTTAAGGAATCGCCACACTGTTTTCCAAAGTGGCTGCACTTGCATTCCCACCAACAGTGTAAGAGGATTCCCTTTCTCCACATCCTCTCCAACACCTGTTGTTTCTTGTCTTGTTAATTTTGGCCATTTTAACTAGTGTAAGGTGGTGTCTCAATGTGGTTTTGATTTGAATCTCCCTGATGGTTAATGATGATGAGCATTTTTTCATGTGTCTGTTAGCCATTTGTATGTCTTCATTGGAGAAGTGTCTGTTCATGTCTCATGCCCATTTTTTTTTTTTTGATGTGATTATCTGTCTTGTGTGTATTGAGTTTGAAGAGTTCTTTATAGATCTTGGATATCAGCTCTTTGTCTGTGGCACCATTTGCGAATATCTTCTCCCATTCCGTGGGTTCCCTCTTTGTTTTGTTGACTGTTTCCTTTGCTATGCAGAAGCTTTTTCTCTTTATGAAGTCCCAAAAGTTCATTTTCGCTTTTGTTTCCATTGCCTTTGGAGACATGTCTTGAGAGAAGTTGCTGTGGCCGATGTTGAAGAGGTTACTGCTTATGTTCTCCTCTAGGATTTTGAGAGATTCCTGCCTGATGTTCAGGTCTTTTATCCATTTCGAGTTTATCTTTGTGTATGGTGTAAGAGAATGGTCAAGTTTCATTCTTCTATATATAGCTGTCTAAATTTTCCCAGCACCATTTATTGAAGAGAACTCATACAATAATTCAGTAATGTGGCAGGATACAAAAATCAATGCACATAAATCATGTTGGCAGTTGTAGCCATTGCTGCTATGAACATTGTGGTACAGATGGCCCTTCTTTTCATTACATCTGTATCTTTGGAGTAGTGCCTGATTTCAAGCTACATTACAATATTGTGATCACCAAGACAGCATGGCATTGGCACAAAAACAGACACATAGATCAATGGAACAGAATAGAGAACCCAGATATGGACCCTCAAACCTATGGTCAACTAATCTTTGACAAAGCAGGAAAAATATCCCATGGAAAAAAGGTAGTCTCTTCAATAAATGGTGCTGGGAGAATTGGACAGCTATATACAAAAGAATGAAACTCAACCATTTGCTTACACCATACACAAAGATAAACTCTAAATGGATGAAAGACCTCAGTGTGAGACAGGAATCCCTCAAAATCCTAGAGGAGAACATAGGCAGTAACCTCTTCTACATCACTACAGCAACTTCTTTCATAGTGTGATCTTTACAATTTATTAACTCAGCATTTTTCCAAAGAAAGACTTCCACATCTGGGTGACTATTTTGTAACATGTTTCCAAATTTAGGTATGTGCTGTTAGAAACAACTTGACCACAAAACTTTTAGAGCCAGTGGTTGACCTTAGGTGAGCATTTCTTTTTCAGTATAAACTCTCCTTCAACCATGTTCATATATTTTTCCTATAATGGGATCTGGCTGAAAATTTTGAATCAGGTAAAAATTTCAAATCACATAAAAACTCAAATGAAATGAGACCAAATCCCAGTCATAGTACTTCAACAAACGTAACCATTTCCTCCTCCCAAGATACAATGTCTGCATGACAAAGAGACCTGGGAAAGCACTCATTTTTCTCAATCCACAAAATGTCTTGCTATTCTTTCCCATTTACTGATACCTGTTTTTTGTTTTTGTTTTTGTTTTTTACAACTAAATAGCATAAAAATGGCATAAAATATTCTTGGACTAGTCAAAGAATTTCTGCTCCCTGGTAATTTTCTGTGGCAATGGAGACCATGATTTGCAATGTACCCTGTGGGGAAAAAAAACTTCATGTTCCACATCACTAGGTATATCCTTACAGTATGATTGATTTTAATGTAAACTCAAAAGTTGTATTATTATCATAAACTTTCCAGGATATTTTAATTTAGCATAAGACATAGCATTGTATGGAAGAAGCACTGGTTAAAGGATTATGAGATGTGAGTTTGTGCATCAGCTTTTATCATTATCTTTACATAAACAGTCTTGATCAAACCATTAACATCTCTAAGCCTCAATATATGGAGGTTAAATGATTGCTAATATCCAATAATAAAGTTTGCTGATTCTGCAATACAAATATTTTACTAGGATGCTTATTGATTAATAACAAAGCTGACTAAATTAGTGCTGCATACACACATTAGGTTACCTTATGAAGAAGTATTTTCATATGTTTTTTTCTATAGAAACTGATGTAGAACACTTGAAAGGTGTTAATGGAACACATATATTGCTGAAGGAAATAAAGATACAATCAAAGAATCTCCCTGGTAAGAACAAGAGTTTTGCAAGTCTAATATTTCTGGTTTGTTTACCTTCTTTGGGGTGTAATGAAGATTGGGTCTAAATGACAAGAGTAGCTATATGTTATATAGGTAAAATCGTCATGAATATTCTCATAATTCATTATATTCTGGTATTTACTAGAAATAAAAATCTAGCTAGATATGAGTTTTAGAACTCATTCTTTTAGAAATTAAACCGTAAAAAATTAAATGCTATAGTGACTTTTTTTTTCCCAAGATTTTTATTTATTTATTTGATAGACAGAGATCACAAGTAGGCAGAGAGGCAGGCAGAGAGAGAGGAGGAAGCAGGCTCCCCACTGAACAGAGAGCCTGATGTGGGGCTCGATCCCAGGACCCTGGGATCATGACCTGAGCTGAAGGCAGAGGCTTTAACCCACTGAGCCACCCAGGTGCCCCTATAGTGACTTTTGAATATGGTTGGTGAAAGTATGTCTAATGCTATTCTATTCGCTTTCTATTTCTGGCTTGGAGAGAACATTCTTTCCATTTGCTAAAGGAGAAAGGCTAATTCATGAATATAATAGTAACAAGAGGAATTTAGATAGCTGATTCATTGGTTATAATTTCCTTCTATTTGATGGAAATACCAGGTATATTATGGTATCTCAGCTGTAGTAGAGTACATTAGTTGTGTTATATAGTTTAGAGATTATATTGCTGCCTTTAATAGTGTAAAAGTGATAGACACACTGCCCATTGAATTCTAGTGTGATTCCAAAGAGGCAAAAAGCTTAACGGATATTTAAAGGAAAGGTATAAAGACAACCAAGTTAAAAACACTGCCATCCAAAAGTGACTATGGGCATGTCCAAGGACTTTACCCCTCAGAAATAAGTATAATGGGAAAGGTATTATTTTGAAAAGAACAATATGGAAATCCACCAGTTGAAAAATACAGTAACTGAAATTTTAAAATTCACTAGAAGTTCTCAGCAGATTTATACTATCAGAAGAAAGAATGAACAAACTTGAAGTACTGAAATACTGCAACGAGAGCAGAAAAATTAGAGCAGATAATATGATTTAAAATAATTGCTGAAAGAGAATGAGATGTTATAAATAAAATGAGTAATATACCAAACACTACCTATACATATTTGCTCTTCTTTCAGTTTCTCTATAGGGCACAAACTTTCATAATGAAACAATTATAGTTAATGAATACATATATATTCGTTATATATATATTTATATATAAATATATATATATTTAAAGAGAGCAGATCTTCAGAATACTATACAAAATTCTATATCCAAAATATGATGTAATATTTCTAAGTCCCACTTGGAATTTGATGAGTATAAATTTTCAGTATATTCTGTATTTGTGGTGACTGTTACACATTTCTATGAACATATTAATAACGACTGCTTAAACATTTATAATGGGCAAATTGTACACTATATGTATAATATGCTATATTAAAAAAATAACTCTGAGAACTCCAAGCAATATAGGATATTTTTAAAAGACTTAAAGCAATGGGAGGATATTGTGAAGGAGGAAAATTGTGACTCAACCTATATTAAACACATACCTTATATGCTCCTAGTACTTAACCCAATCTACACTCAAGCGCTATTGCCATTGCCTCCCCCATTATATAAGAATCCCTTGCTTTCTCAATTCATGTGACTCAGTTCTTCTAATTATATCTGTTGGAGAAAAACCAGAAGGCTAGAACATGTCTGCTAATGTTTTCCACTTATGTGTTGCTATAGCTCATATTACTTTCATAAATGTATTACATAATTATTTTTTATTAACATTTGATGTATTATTTGTTACAGGGGTACAGGTCTGTAAATCATCAGTCTCACACAGTTCACAGCATTAACCATGGCACATACCCTCTCCAGTGTCCATCACCCAGCCACCCCATCCTTCCCATTCCCCTCCCTCAGCAACCCTCAGCCTGTTTCCCAAGATTAAGAATCTCAGTTTGCCTCCCTTCCCAGTACCATCTTGTTTCATTTTCCTCCTTTTTCCCATGACCCCCCACCCTGCCTCTCAAAATCCTCATATCAGAGAGATCATATGATAATTGTCTTTCTCTGATTGACTTATTAACTTATACCGTCTAGTTCCATCCACGTTGTTGCAAATGGCAAGACTTCAGTTTTTGATGGCTGCATACTATGCCATTGTGTATATATACACATCTTCTTTATCCTTTCATCTGTTGATGGACATCTAGCCTCTTTCCATAGTTTGGCTATTGTTACTTTACCCAATAGGTAACCCAGAGTCACTAATTCTAGTCATTTCTTTTGCAATGTGAAATTCTTTTAGATGACTTTCTTTCTATTTTTTTCTGTCATTAGAACTACACAGTAGTTTCCACATCCAGAATAAGGTTAAAAATCATGTAAAGACTCAAATAGAAAAGGATGCAATGCCAATACTCACATTATTGCATATTACCCATTTCCTCCTCCCCAGCTAGAAGGTGTACATGCTAAGATGACCTTGAGAGAGCACTTTATCTCATTCTGTGTATTATTTGTTATTCTTTTCCATCACTAATGTCTACTTGATTTAAAGTGACATAACCTAATACTCCTGGACAAGTCAAAGAATTTCTGCCTCACAGTAATATCTGTGACTCCACTAACCATAGTTTGTAAACTGACCTGGGAAAAAACTGTTAAGTCCTCCCTCACCAGGTATATCCCTACCATGTGAATGTGTTTTTTAAATGTACATGGAAGTCATACTATTAAGTTAAATGCTTTGAGATGATTTAAATTTGCAAAACACTGTATGTTTTCTGGTTAAAGCCCTAGAAAAAAACAACAGTCTGTGTATCAGTTTGGTCATTACCCAGATATGTGACCTTTGTCAAATCACTAAACATCTCTAGGCTTCAGTATAATGAGGTTTACCCGTTTACTAACAGCTCTTCAGATTGTAAGTTATTATGTTTCTACAACCCAGACATTTCATTATAATTCTCCTCCTATAATAAGAAATGTGAAATAGAAGGACACTAGACACACAAACACACATGTGTTAACATTTACCTTACAAAAGTGTTTTGAAACTGTTTATTTCTATAGAGATTGATGCAGAGGCCCTCCCAGGTGCTATGGGAAGAGGTATGCTAAAGAAGGAGATCAAGACACAGTCAAAGAGTCATGCTGGTAAGAACAAAACTATTTCAAGTTTATTTAAGGGTTATTATTTCTTCTGGAGTTTAAACTTGGATCTTTAAAGACTATAGAATCTATGTGCTATTATTACATTTTAAAACATCTTTGTAAAGTCCCTCCTATAGTTAGTGGAATTCTAGCAGTTACTATAAATGGACAATTGGCCACCTATTACAGGTTTTAGAACCCATCCATTAAAATGTGATCCTCAAAAAACCTGATACGAAATTGAGCTTGGAATATGCTTGATGGAAGCATTTCAAAAGCTGCTCTACTCCCTTTCTTTTTTCAGGCTACATAGGATAGTTGCTTTGTATTTGCAAAGCAGAAATTCTAGCTTATGAAATGGATAAGTAGAGGAATTTAGAAGATAGTTATTTCATTAGTTACTAATTCTCTCTGTATGATTGAAATATCAAACAAATTTATATCTCTGGTGAAGTAGAAATCTTTAGTTTTGTCATATAGTTCATAATTTATACTACTACCTCTTGTCCTGGCAGAAGAGGGTGTTGTGAAGGAGTAGACGTTTTTTCTATTATGTTCAGTTAGCCACTGTATAGCACATCATTGGTTTTTGATGTAGTGTTCAATGATTCGTTAGTTGCATATAAGACTCAGTGCTCATCACGACACATGCTCTTCTTAATACTCATCACCTTGTTTTATACCCTTATCCCCTCCTGCTCCCCTCTGAAACCCTCAGTTTGTTTCCTGGAGCCCATAGTCTCTCATGGTTTGTCGCCTTCTCTGATATCTTCCCCTTCAGATTTCCCTCCTTTCCTCTATGGCCCTCCATGATACTGCTTATGTTCCACATATGAGTGAAACCATATGATAATTGTCTTTCTCTGATTGACTTACCACACTTAACATAATCCCCTCCAGTTCCATCCATGTTGATGCGAATGGTAGGTATTCATCCTTTCTGATGGCTGAAAAATATTCCATTGTATATATGTACCACATTTTCTTTATCCATTTATCTGTTGAAGGGCATCTCAGAAACCAATTCTTAACTAGACTATAAATTGCTCTAGGACATACCTTTCCCCCTCAGTTTTTAATCCTATCTGCTGTGAAATGTTCTCCATGTCTCCTTGCTTATTTAAGAATCTCCTCACACTCATTCCAAATGAACCATTCAGTCTTACTTATGCCAATTGCAGACACAACCAGAGAGCCTCAAATATATCTTCTAACAACCCCACTTTGCATTTCTCTATATCATTTTGCTTTAACAAAATGTCATTATGTGCTTATTGAAAGTTGTTGCATCCAACCTTATTTTTTGTGGTTCTTTTTGGTGAGATACCCAGGCTGGTTCCCACCTCTTCTTAGGTTGTGGTGAATATATATTTGGGGTCCAAAAGTCATAGTACAACCTTTAACAGTTATTCATAATCTCAGCGAGTACAACAAAGCAAGATCCACCTTATGGATTCAGGTTCATGACAGGTTTCCAGTCTCTAATACACACTCTCCAATAACCAACTTTCATTCCCAGAACATTAGTTTCATTATTTGGCCCAAGTCACCAATCCTAATTATCTTCTTTTTGATTTGATGTAAATTCCTTTTTAATATCTTTCATGTGTTTTTCCTCTTTTTTCACCTCATTAATAGTTTCTAAATCCAGCAAATGTTAAAATCACATAAAAAATAAAATGGTATGCAATCACAATACTGGTACTACGGCAAATTCATTCATATTCCTTTCCCCAACTACAAGGGAACTGATAGGCACTTTCTTTTTAGACCACAGAATATCTTACTAGATTCTACATCACTGATGCCTACTTGATTTACATATAACCTTAAAATAGCATAAAGTAGTCGAGAGAGTCAAAATTTCTGCCTCATAGTAACTTTTCCTGATGTGGGACTATGGTTTATAACTTGAACTATGAACAAAAATGTTATGTTCCATCTCAGTTGTATATCCTACAGTATGAATATTCTTTTAGCATAAACTTGGAAGTTATATTATTAACATAAATTTTGTAAAAAATGTAAATCATCTTGAGAAATTTATGTTAATATAACTTCCAAGTTACTAACATTTTGTTAGTAAAAAAGCACTGGTTAAGGAATTAGGGGGTGTCAGTTTGTGCATCAGTTTTGTCATCATCTTAATATGTTTTCTTGATCAAATCCCTAAACATTTCTGAGCCTTATTTTTTTTTAAAGACTTTATTTATCTGACAGAGAAAGACACAGCAAGAGAAGGAACACAAGCAGAGGGAGTGAGAGAGGGAGAAGCAGGCTCCCTGCTAAGCAGGGAGCCTGATGTGGGGCTCAAATCCTAGGAACCTGGGATCATGACCTGAGTCAAAGGCAGATGCTTAACTGACTGAGCCACCCAGGTGCCCCTCTGAGGCTCATTATAATGAGGTTTAAATGATTGCTAAGAGCCCTTCAAATTCGATGACATTTTTTATTGTGCAATTCAGACATTGCATTTTTCTCTTCTTCTATAAGAATATATGCTGATCAAGTCTGTACTACACACACACACACATACAGGACCACACATTAATGCTTACCTTATAAAGAGTTTGGATTTTTTTTTTCTTTTTGCTCTATAGAGACTGATGTAGAACAGTTGACATATACTGCTAGAGGAGAAAAAATAATTGGTGAAATCAAGACACAACTTAAAAGTCACCCTGGTAAGAACAAGTATTTTTTAAGTCTAATATTTATGGTTTATGTCATTTTGGGGATTTAATTAGATATGGATCTTTAATGACAACAGTAATTATTTGTTATTATATGGGTAAAAATCTCCATGAATTTCCTCTTATAATTAAGTAAACTCTAGTATTTACTATCAATAGAACATTAGCTAGATATTATTAGTTTTAACAAAACATATTTACAAAGTAAGCCATAAAATCCAGTGCTCTAGTGACCTTGGAAAATACTTGGTGTAATATTTCTTACTACTCTTCTACTCATTTTCTATTTCTGGCTTAGAAAGGAAAGTTGCTTTAAATTTGAAAAAGCAAAAAAGGCTAGTTGATGAGTTTTAGAAGAACATTATAACAGTTATTTCATTGGTTACCATATCCCTGCATATAAAGTTGGCATGTGGATTTACATCTCTACTAGAGTAGTTATGTAGCTGTGTTATATAATTCACAGACAACACTACAGCTTCTGATCCTGGAGTAACAATGTTAGATACATTTCTCTCTCTCTCTCTCTCTCTCTTTTTTTAGAGAGAGAGGGAGAGTGTTCATGCACATGTGTACACGTGAGGGGAGAAGGGGTAGAGGGAGAGAGAATCTTAAACAGGTTCCATGCTCAATGTAGAGCCCAATGTGAGGGGGGGGAACCTCAATCTAATAACCCTGAAATCACGACCTGAGCTGAAATCAAGAGTCAGATACTGAACCACATGAGCCACCCAGGTGACCAATACATTCCTCTTAGGTGCAAGAAATACTGTAGTCATGAATTTTTGCAGAAACAATGCTGAAATCTAGAATTCGGAAATAGCTGAACCCTCACATAAAAGCAACAAAATAGGTGTTCTTAGTGAAATTTAAGATTAAAGCAAGATTTCTGAACCTTTGCTTTTGAATGCTTTATTTATTTAATTATATCAAAATTCTATTCCTGAACAAAAAAAGTAGCTAAAAATAATCAAATATCTTCTCCTGTTTAGCAGGTTAACTTTAATTTTGTTTGATTGTTTCCTTCACTGTGCAGAAGCTTTTCATTTTGATGTATTAGCAATAGTTTTCATTTTGATGTACTAGCAATACTTCTTTGCTTCAGGAGACATATCTAGAAAAATGTTGCCTCATCCAATGTCAGAGACATTACTTCCTAAGTTCTCTTCTAGGATTTTTATGGTTTCAAGTCTCACATTTAAGTCTTTAATCCATTTTTAGTTCCATTTGGTACAAGATGGATGGAACTAGAGAGTATAATTCTAAGTGAAAGAGGTCAGAAAAAGACAAAATACCATGATTTCACTCATGTGGAATTCAAGAAACAAATGAGCAATGGGAAAAAAAGGAGAGAGAGACAAACCAAGTAACAGACTCTTAACTCTAGAGAACAAACTGATGGTTACCACAGGGGAGTAGGGTAGGAGGATGGGAGAAATAGGGATGGGGATTAAGGAGTGTACTTGTAATGATGAACACACTGTGTTATATGGAATTGTTAAATTACTATAGTGTACACCTGAAACTAACTGTTAGTGTCAGTCAGTTATGTGAACTGGAATTAAAATAAAATTTAAAAAATGAATCAAATAAAAATTTTTTATTCAAAGAGCTTATAACTAAGGCGGTATAAAAATGAAATTGTTTGAATCAAGCAGTTAATTTATTTTGTGTCTTACTCTAACAAAATCTTTTCCATCTTTAATCTTCAGACTATTTTTGTTTAGGTACTTTGATTTACTGTTTGCTTCAGTGTTCCTGATGAAGTATTCTCATCTACATTTAGTCAGTTTAAAATACCATGTCCTTTAAGAACAAAATTAATTTAGTTACCTAATCTGTGTTTATTTATTGTTAATTTACAAATTCTCTAAACAAATTTTTAGAGAAATTTTTTACAAGGAAAAGAGTTGAAAGGAGTTTATAGATCATATACAGAAATTAATATTCACATTTAAGATAAAATGGGTTTGATTAAAGGTCAAGATTAAGGAAGATGTTATCTAAGAATACAGAAAAAAGGAGAGAAAATGAAGAATTTTATAGAAATCGGAATCATAGACAAGTGACCACTCAAACATGAAAAGATTACAAATGCAGAAATAAGGACTAATACATGGAGACTGGGGGGTATTATTTAAATAGTCATAATGTCTTTGTGAATTTTTTTAAAATTGCATTTTCGGTGTGAATTTATTTAAAGACAGTTATATGTCCCCACAACATAAAGAAGATTTTTTTACCAGTGACATCACACCACGGAAAGTCTCAACAAACAGGATCAGTTTTTCATCTTTTGACAATCAAGGTAAAAGATATAGCAACGTAAAATAAGTACCTAATTATCTAGAATACTTTCTGTAGTATGCTTTTTCATTTTACTTTTTATGAAATATTTTAAGCTTTCAGAAAATATGTAACACTAATATAAAAAAAGTAAAATTCTAATGGTTTCCATTCTGTGCTATTATAATCTCATTCCATTTTTATATTCTGTTATATTCCATTTTTTTCTCAGTTCTTATGTATGCCATCGTAAGCCATACATAATGTATTTCCTGAAATACTTGATTGTGCCCTCTTTTTTATTTTCTTTTATTGTGGAAAAATTACCTCTTGTATTCTCTCCAACTTCCTGCATTATTCTTATAGGTCAGTTAATTTTACAAAAATATGTGCACCATAATTCCTGTCATCTCAGCAATACTTTTTAAAATACATTCTTTTTAATCTAGCATTTAAGTTAGAAAGTTCATCTGAGGTAGTTAGTCTTCTGTACCACCTGCTTTCAAAATTATATTCAATTTTTAATACCAGGATATGCCAAAATATTTTCATTCAAATAATTTAGTCTTGATACTTTCATGAAAACATGATGAAGGATAAACATAAATTTGACAGTATAGGGCCATTACCTTAACATATATTAAGGATTTTATCTTTAATGACTTAAAAATCCTTCCCAGCTTTTACTTATATTTGACAAACGTGAAAGACTAGCTTGGAATTTGGCTTCTGAAATAAATCCTGTCAACAGCATTTTATTTTCTCAATTACAGTCTCTTACTAAGCCTCTCAGCGTATGGCTTCAGTTTAATCTTTAGCCAATGATTAAATAATATGAGGCTTATAATTATTTGTTTTAATGGAAGTGTTCTGCAATAGCACATTACCTTTAAAATCAATAGGGTTTGTAAAAAAATTGATAAACAATTAAATTGGTGAGGGGGAAAACAGTGGTTTATGTATACAGCTCTAATTATCAAAGGTACCTTTATAAATGCATCCTTCTAAATGTAGAGTATAAGTCAAATACAGAAATGAATATTCTGGTTCAACTGAAACAGGATTTGGATAAGGAAAATTAAGGAAGATACTGAGAATAAAAAACTCTGTCTTACAGACAAAAACTGTGTATGCCAACGTCCATATCAGGTAAAAAAAAATAGTGAGGGCTTTGCTGCTAATTATTCTAATTTACCTCAGAAGAGGAAGAAGAGCTTTTGTACATTTACATTTGCAAATACTAAAAATACTACTGCATCAAAATGCTACAAAAGAAGAACCTTTCTCAATGAGAAGGGAGAATGATTTCTAAAAAGGACTTTGACATAATTGGATATATCCGAGAAATAAAAGTAGTAAGTGACATTTCCTATAAAATACTTGGCAAGAGAGAAAGAAGATTACAGTGATGACATCAATATTGTAGGAGATTTGTGTGGGTTTTTGTTTTGTTTTGTTTTGTTTTTACCATCTACCCCCTATGAAAAAGAGAACCAATTTAATGATGATCCACATATGGGAGAGGCTTTGTTGAAATCCAGGAGTCCAGCAGAGAAGTCCTAGCACACTGTTGGAACAACAACAAAATCTGAGATTAGATACACCGTAGAGGGTAAAAGGAACAGTTTGACTTTACCTACACCACTCCTTCTTCAGGGCAGCATACTTCAGTGCAAAGAGAGCCCTTTTGCATCCCAAGATATCTCCTGTGGGAAAAAGTGGGTATGTGAGTGAGTACCCAGCATGTGAGTGAGTACTGCCAAAAAGACCCATTTTTCTCTTATGTCATCCAGAGAACTGAGTCATAAGTCACATGACCTAAAGTCAAAGAGTGGCTGAGATAACAGCCGCCAAGGTTCAGAACCGAATGTGTAGAAGGGATGTAACTGCTAACTGTGTCAAAGGACTCTGGAGGCCCACACATCAGCTGCTGAAAACACTTCACCTGTGGATTCCCCAAAACTGGTCCACAGTCACCTCCAGTACTCCATGTGTCTCACCCCCACAAAATCCACCTTGTGGCTGGCTCCCTCTGCAGGCTCCCAACAGCAGTAAGAGTGAACTTCGACAGACAGGAAACACCCCCAGAAAACTGTCCTGGAAGAAACCATAAACTTGAGCACTCAGCACTGCCATAAGGAAAACAAAAAGGAGACTCTCAGCAACCAACCTGTCTTGGCAGCACAGAAAGAAGGCTTAACAATTCTGCCACCAAAACAAGCAAACAAAAAGCACGAAGTGTAGAGCAGGTACACCCATTGAATGGTCTGAAAAAACATCAGAATTCCTAGCAGGGCTGAAAGAAGAGATTTCTCTCTGGAAACCAGTCAGTTAACCTGGAGGAGGCGACTACTTTTTTTTTTTTTTTTTAAAGATTTTATTTATTTATTTGACAGAGCGCTTTTTAAAATGCAATGAAAACAGAGAGAATGTCAAGGAACATTAAAAAAAATCAAGGAAACATAATACCATGCAAGAAATACATTATTTTCCAATAGCCCCAAAGAATTGGAGATTTGCAATTTAACTGATAAGGAATTCAAAATAGGTGTTTTAAAGAAGCTCACTGAGCTACAAGAAAACACAAAAAGCCAGATCAACAGAAGCAAGAAAAGAATACACAAAATGAGAAGTTTAACAGAGGGATAGAGATCATAAAGCAGAATCAAACAAACTCACGTTGATAGCCAATCCAGCAGGAGAAA